GACAGCATCCTTTCACGGGCCGCGCTCACCGCTCGACCCTCTGTGTATCCAGGGCCCCTCTGGTCGCTCACAAGCCGTTTTTGCTGATCAATGCACTTCTGGCTGCTGAGGGGCCCCTTTGGGTAATGACGAGCCTCTTGTAGTTGGGATCCCTCTCTGACAGCTTAGGGACTTAACTGGTCGCCCAGCCTCCCCGGTCGCGAAGGGGAACTTTTGATCGCTTGTGGCCCCTTCCGGCCATCGAAGTTTTCGTTTGGCTGCTGATAGTCCACTGCCGCCCAACAACTCATCTGGCCGTCAGAGCATATATCTATGATTAAATGACCCGCCTGGACACCTGTGTTAGGAGGACGATCAGTGGATAAGATAAGCTTGTCATGCTGCTGAGGGACTGCCCCCGGGCCCCTAAAGCCCCTCGGACTACTGAGATGATCTCTGAGTTTTCAGAGCTCAGGGTCCGCTCAGGACTTCAATAGGAGCTCAAAACCCTTTATGTCCGCAAAACACTCTGTATAATTGCATGAACTTTTCTATGCAAAGGGTAATAGAGACGCTAGGATCGCCGATAGCTGCTTTGTACCGTGTTGGTGGAAGTAGATCCCATTTCATTGTTCAAACGGCGGGAAATCGTTAAGCCTGAGTCCGGAATTTCAGGTCACTTCGGTTCGTCAAAGCATGAAACAATCTTCTGAAGGCGGATCACAGCCGTAAAGGATTTTTTTCCGTTCTTTTATGTTTTTGTTTTTGTGTCTTACCCAGCATGACAAGAATGTGAAACAGCCGACATTTGCATCCCTCAAACAGTTCCGTGATCCCCTTTTTCCGCGACTCCGATGCATTCTTTTTCCAGCACGCCCCCACCACTTCTTGCCCAGCACTTGCGAAGTCGCCTTCACCTCAATGTGAGCCCAACCCGGAACCCAATATATTACTCCTTCTTTTCCAGGCGGCCTACAAACCTATTTTAAACCTATAAAAACATCGAAAGAAGCCCACCAGGCAACACATGCCGTGCCAGGCTTGGAGCATGCCTCAAGTATGGTGGAGAGTATGACTATGGTTAGGGTCGGGCTCGAAGCGCACGCGTGGCTTCCATGAGAAGACGCGGCCTCGAGAAGGCCTGCATGTTGAACGTTATCCCTCAGCGTTACCTGCCACCGGCCAAATAAAATTTTGTCACGTGCTTAACCGTCCCGGCTGTCGAAGTCCTTCGCCGTTTTTTAAAACGGTCGAGGATGGCAAGTTCAGCCGTAGGTCGAACTTTAACGTGAGGACAAGGTAAGTCCCGAGGGTGAAGAAAGGCTGTTTGTTTCTGATTGAACTATCCCGCGGCGTGGCGCCGGTGCGCCGGCATTCCTCGCGGCAACACATATTCTGGTATTAGTTGAATGGCATTGTGTAAATGAACGTTTCGTTTGCTGTGCATGATACTGCAAGTTGCGGTGACAAAAGAGGCTTTCGGTACTACGCCGATTTCTGATTGCGCTGCTGGACATAGACGTCATTGCCATTTATTGTCATATATTATCGCGTTAAAATGCTGACGACAATTTTGGTCGCGAAGATTAGGTCGGCGACTCAAAGTACATTTTATCACCGCTGACTTTCAGAAACGTTGCCGTTTTCGTCCACTACTCACCGGCCACCGCCAAATATCAACAAGGCAGTCAACCAGGCTGCAACAATGGAGACTGCAACGCCGGACATCGGAGTTTGTTCCAAGGCTTGAAAGCCCGCATGGTCAAAGCTGTGGCATAAATTATTTCACTTCGCGGTTCTGGACGGATATTGAACCTCCCTTGACGAACATGGTCACTGGGGAGACAGCTAAACCAGCAACGCTTTTACAACCAACGTGCGTTGCGTGTGACGTTGGCACTACGGTCGTTTCACTTGCCGTACATCCGAACTACAGCAGGTTGAGGTCACTTTTCTTATGGTAGGGTTACAGCTTGGAACGGTGTCTCCCAGAAGTACAGCTGGCTCACAGTGCGTGTTTTATGAAGTGAGCAGGGAAAGGCATTATCAAGAGCGGGCACACGCCTTAGCATTTTGGGGAAAGGCTGAGAACCCTTTTCTAAAATGATATGTGGGGGAGCGCTTTTATTATCGGTACAATTTGGGACATGTCGAGAAGCTTCATGTAAACGTGATGCAACGCCAAATATGTTGGGGACACTATTCTTGTGAATACATGCATATACACAACAAAAAATAACAGAAACACAGGGTGGTAAATTGTGGGCATATTTTACGTTTCAGTACGCAAGAGAAGTGCAAATACACCCCTTCAGTTTCACGAAACAAGTGCGTTTTTACGAAGCTCATGCAAGCTGTCAGGCTGCCATATGTGATTGCTGTAACTAGACACATGAGCTTAGAAAACATGTAGTAGGTTAAGTTAATATATGCACGCATATATATATATATATATATATATATATATATATATATATGCGTGTATATGTATATTGGGTGGCCAGAAACCAGAACATAAGTTAACTATAGCCCAGAAAATTTTCATATGTGTCATCCTATGGGGACTTCCAAAACTCTCCCCCCCCCCTCCAATCGTTTTTGCACACCCACACCCTACCTTGGCAGTGCTTTTCTAGACGGGCTCACAAAATTTTAGCCGTTGTTGCGTTTGTTGGAAATCAAATGGGACCGACCATTATTTCTGGGGACAATAATTATCTGTCAACTAAACAGCATACGTTTGCACCACAGCTGCGACGTGCATGTCCATTGCTGTAGCGTTTCGTGCCCTTCGATCTGCAATGGTTTGAGCCACATTGCTGGGATCTGGAGTAAACATTTCTGCTTTGCGATGCGATCTGTGGTCGAAGTTCGGAGATGTGCCATTGCAGATCACCAACAAAACTTCATCGCTGGGACTGCGTGGCTATTACACGCATTTTCTGAAACGGTGGCACGCTATCACAAGCAATTACACGCAACCGCCCTCTCGCCAGCAACGAATGGATGCACGTTTCAAAAGGCCAATCAACTCCCAGCGCTGAATCGCCCATGCTGTGCGGCGGACTGGCTGACAGTGCTGTTAGTAATTGGTCCGCTCATTTGCCCATTCAGACGCGTCATCGCAAGCGGCAGCATTGACCCATCGGTCGTCGCAGGGAGGCAGTTCTTACATAGTTGGTCGGAAACTTTTGAATGGATGGATTTGTCGGACCGGAGCCCTCACTAAGCAGTGCCTGTTACGTGAACCCTCCATCCGATCGTGAAATTCTACGCTACCTTTTGTGGCACAAGACTAGCGTGCCGCAATGCTCGGCCAGGTCGACCTTGCCGCCGCAAGCCATCCCTCAGAAACAAAAACAAAAAGCGACTTAACCGATTTGAGCCCACCTCGCCACGCCTAGGTAAACCGGGAGTACGCGCTCGATCCCACTAAGCTACCAGGAGTTTGTAGCATGCGGGGATGCAATTTCAAAAACGCTTTCTTTTTTTCAAATCGTCTATAATACGTGAAGACCAACTGCAATTCACGGCCAACATCTCGGAGAACGCACCCTATCAGATTACGCACTCCCGGACGTTAGAAAGATGACAGTGATACTGCTCCGGACGAATCCCCCACACCAGATGGATGCTACCGTCCGAGCGCCGAGAAGAGAGTGGCTGCGCGTGAAATGTGCCCTGCCGGCCTGGCCCGGTCTCTCCAGGGCTTGTGTACTGTGACAACATAGCCTCGCTCAGCTCCCAAGGCGTTTTATCTCAGCCCTAATTAACAGTCCCGTCGCCATTCAGGAAGTGCTTGAAAATTGTCAAGCCGCGTCCCGCGGACGGCGAGACCTTTACACGACGTGACAGAGCATATTGATGCAAATCAGCGAGGTAAAATCCTGCGAAGAGCTGGCGCGGGCATAAAAGAGTCTCGTCTCTCTCGACGTGTTTTTCGTCGCATCGAATATTAAAGACGGCCAATAGGATTCGAATGAGCAGTCGGAGCACTGGAGAAAGATGGAGATCAATAAATACGGCTATAGCAGTGGACGAACGATAGTCTAGCTGTTAAGGACAGTGACCCAGGACGTCGGCTGCCACTCTAACTAGGGATCAGCTCATTCCTCCCAGCTCCGTACCGTACAGCTCCGCAGTTCCGTCAAAGACCGCCACAACTGATTCGCCCCACTTGTAAAACCATTAGACCATAAGACCATTGAAGACCAAAAACAGACACAGCCAAGAATCGTCGATGATATCACTTGCCCCCTCAAGTTTTGATTGCATACCTTCGGAAATCGTCATTGAATGCTCTAGAACGCGGCTCAGCGGCAGTGGAGTAATTATTCCCAATTGGCTGGAATGACATGGCTATTGGTGAGTTTTTGGGCTTTTTCGTCCTGCTTTACTCCAGGATCCTTTCCACTTTCCTTACATCTTTATTTTGGCAGCACGTTGTCACTGGATCCAGCGTAAATAAAAACTTACCTCAGTAATGGTTCCTGTAAAAGCGTCGGGTCAATTGCGTCTTCCTCTTGCGAACAGGCGTCTTCCAGTCTCGATGTAGGGCTTAAGGTCAACCACGCGCCCGCCTGCACACACAAGCCAAAGTGAAGGCCGGTATCTATATCAACCGTTAAATTTCAACAGGAAAATTTGTTTGGGTTTAAAGAGCGTTTTTTTGTTTGTTTGTTCCCTTCAATGCTGTCAAACGGTATTGCTTTAGTATGGTGTTAATAACGGTTTTGGATGTACTGAACCTTGGAAATCTAGGCGCATTCTTTCAATGGGAAACAGCTTGTTTTTTCGCGCATTACTGCGGCAGACAAAAACTGAGGCTAAAAACCTTAGTTGTGATCGGTTGCTGGAAGGATTACAATGTGCATACAGTTAATACTTGCAAACATACCAGAACCGTATTATCAGGATGCCCAATAATATCCGCATTACATTATACACTTATTGGCAGTCTCTCGGGCAGAAAATCACGTGCATGGGGCTGCAACGCAATTACGTCTTCTTCCCATCTTTGTCAAGGGTTTAGTGTTTCGTAGTCTATGTAACCATATTAAGTCGATCAAATTCGCGGTGAAATTGAGGATGTCGATGTGAGTGATACCAAATGGCCGAAATATTGAAACTGATTGTCCTGTGTTTTATAGGCTTTTCATTCGCGCAACAAGGGGAGGATGAAGACGATCCCAAGGTGAAGGCAAGATGGAACGACTACAACTCAATTTTCATTCGGTACGGATACCGAATGTTCGACGAGGGTCAGATTAGGAAGTTTGAAGTTTGGCAGAACATGCTCATGCCAGTTAGCATCCGTGACATGATGGTCGGCAAAGCTAAATTTTTTCATCCATCAGTCCCATGGCTTGCACCAGATGGTAGTGTGGCTGAAATAAAGTATATGCTGAGTAAGGATAAACCTCCAAATGAAACTCTCTTTGAGCATGCTAAAAAGGAAGTGGAAGAAAATACGTGCATCCGTTTTAAAGAAGTCAAAGAAACTCCTGACATGAATTGTCAAGCAGAAGGTGAGACGGAATACTTTTGTGTTTATGGAGAGGAAGGGGCGTGCGCGGCTGAGTATGGGCAAAACCTATCGCACCCAGCTCTTTTTAGCGTATCTGATAACTGCGGAAAGCGTGGTGCAGTCCGTGAGATTGGTCACGTACTGGGCCTTCAAAACGCACAGAGCAGATCAGATAGAAGAAAATTTATTGCAATAGCTTTCAAGAACATTGGTTATACGCATGATGACTTGTTTCGGAGGGCAGCCTTCTCTGATTTTCAGTCATGCGTCGATTCAAGGGAAGAAAACTTGAAAATGCCATACGACTACGTATCTGTAATGCATCAAGGGGTCCTGCAATGGACTGACAACTATGAGCTTGTGATGGTTCCAAACGATCCAAAGTACTTGTATATGATAGATTACGCTCAAGACTTCCATCCCCATTTGTCCCACTACGACAAATTGCTGCTTAACACCATTTACAAATGTGACAAAAGACTCGGGAAAAAATGTGGCTCTAAGTCATGCAAAAATTTAGGCTACCTGACCAAGGACTGCAAATGCGTATGCCCGAAGGGAACATCCGGAGAAACATGTTCGAGCGTTGGTTCTTCTACGGATGTGTACGATCTCCCAGAAAAACCAGCGTGCTGGAGGGAGGTTACATCGGATGACGACAGCTTTACGCTAAGTAGCGCTGGTTTGGCCCCATTAAAAGATCTCCAGCCCCCATTTACCCAGCACTGCGTCATCGTGGTAACCGCAAGTCGTTGCAAACTACCGATGGTTACGGTAGATGCACGGATTGCCATGCTAGGCTTGCGTCCGAAGATAAAGTGGTGGTTTGACAACGATCTATTGTCGTGCTCCTACTTCAGCATTTTCTACAATGTGAGCGGAATGCATACTAGAAATATCTGTTGGGATCAACTAGTGGACAATCCGGTTTACTGGATATTTTCGAGAACAGGTCACATGTGGCTTTTTGCCCGATTCCGAGACCAAGAAATGGCGGGAGTTGCTGGACGGATCAAGCTATTCTTCCATAGCACTGGCGATTTCCGTTGCAAACTAGGCAACAACGAGATCTTTGACGCGGTCAATGCAGGAAGAATGCGATCCACCGGGGGCGCCGCTCAGTCAGCACAAGCTATGGCGATTATTCTACCAGCAGTGGCCGTGTGTTTGCTGCTGGTACTGGGCTTTGTGTACTGGAAGTTTATACGAGCGCCAATGGCCTCAGATGAGGAGCAGGCTGAAGAAGAAAACGCGGATACGGGTGATCAGCCGCCTGCCGAAGATGCTGAACAGCCTGCTGCAGAATAAAGCTTCGTCGTCCCAGAGCCACCGGTCGCCTCTTTTGTCAGAGCCAAGCTCATTAACCGATTACAAATTCCTGTGTAGTTGTGTTAAAGCGAGACCACGAAGATTTGCATTGCGTCCTGTTGATGTCAAGGTATGTGTTGTTCACATCTCGATGATAACTAAATAATCACTAGCGAGGGTGCATATTTTGTTACACTCGCTATCAGAACATACGCACTCAGTGTAGAGACGAGCTTGATCTGACCTTTGCCGGGGAAGTGGATATTCGGGCTGGTGTTTTGGCCTTCAACCCATGCAATGTCGTTACAAAAGTTAAGAGGAATGGCTACGTCCGATTGATATCAGCAAGTGCCAGCAAACCGGCCTGAATGCGTTTCGGTTTACGATTGCTGATGTGCTGAATGACTTTCAAAATACGGTTTGTTTGCGGAAATCATCTGGGCTGATTAGCCTCCTGAAGAAGGGTTGGCATATAAATATATGAGAGTACCACTTAAGATTTTTAACGCCAAACGTTTGGGTCTTTTTCTTAGCTCCAGACAAACTTCTTTTTTTCTTCTTGAAAGGTAGAAAATATGGTCGCATGAAAGTTGTGAGGATACACAGAACACATCGTCGCGACCAAGGGCGGTGCCAGAGATTTTGAGATGGGGGGAAGGATTTTTCAGCGTGTCTCCGGGACAAAATAGGTGTTCTAACAAGGGGTTTCCAGCGCAGCGTCCTTTTCGAGGGGGACGTGCACCGAGGGCTCGTGCCCTTTATCAAACCGTTACATGTATCGTATCCCAGTAAATAAAAATCGACATTTGAAAATTCTGGAGTAGGGGCCATCCAATCACTCGGCAAAAGGTCTCACTAACCCAAAACAAGGCCTACCAATGTATAGGGAGGCCTCCTAACTTAGAACGGAATGCTACGACTCACGAAGGAGACCTCCAGATCTATCCAAGAGACCTCGCTGTCCCAAATCAGGGCGTCCCGATCCGGAACAGCGGCCATCTGATGCATGAAAAAGACATACTCTTCTAGAAATGGGGCCTTCTGCTCCAGAAATGGGGCCTCCTAGCTGAAAAGGGTGCCTCCTAAATCAGCACAGGGGCCTCCTAGTTTGTAACGAGAGCCTCCTGAGCCAGCAAATGCGGACCTCCTTAACACAATACTGGGCCTCCTGATCAAGACCATAGGCTACCATAGGCGCAAATATGGCCCCAGGACCCAGAAGACATATCTATTGATGTAGCAGAGGGTCTTTTGAGGCAGCTATATCACTGTATAGTTCAATTATGAGGCCTCCTCGGTCTGGATTTTGGAACTCATTGTGTGGGTACAATGCATTTAGTTGGGGGAAAAGGGGCCTCCAAAAAAGGGAAGGGAAAAAGCCTGTTTTATCCGCTACCTTGCTTTCCTGCTTGCTGGTAGGGGCAGTTGTCCCCTTTGCCCGCCCCCCCCCCGCCCCCCCCCTCCCCTGCCGCGCCGCCCCTGGTCGCGACATATGAACATGTCTCCGTAGAAAACAAAAGATCCAGCAAGCCAGCAAGCCAGCAAGATCATCTGCAGAGCTCCCCGTGCAATTCGAGTACGCGGCAGTATGGCTGAAATGATGCTGAGCTAGATGAATAATTACATCACAACATGGACAGGTGTTTTCCGGGTCCGTACCCAGCGCTGCGCTGTGTAGCATCACATGACCGTCATTGCTTGATCTATCCGGTCACTTGGATTCATTGATGTTGCAAGTGAAACATCACGAGCAGTTTCAACACTCAGTTATTCTTTGATTGGTGCCAAACATTTGCAAAATAGGCTCAGCATACACCCAGCTGGAGCAATGTTGCACTGGCCCATACATCAGTCGGTGACGATGGAACTAGACGCGCTTCAGTCCAATAGGTTCGAGAGACCTGCGCACGCGGCGGATGGAGGGGCTCATATCCTGGTTGAGGTCACTCGAACCTATAGGATCATCAGACACTAATAACATCTCATGAGTATTCTAATGCCCAAACACATGCCATAACACGTAAGCGTTTCCACGCGGTCACGACGGCGCCGACACCGCACGGCTCGGGGAGCGTCACTGTCGCAGCGCTACACTGCATGTTCTTGAAGCACGCGGTAGTCGATCCACACAACGAGCGCGGCGCTGAGCATGAGGCCTATGACCAGCAGTATCTCGAGCACGCAGAGCGCCAGCAGAGTGTCGCTCAGCGCACCGCGACTCAGCGTCAGCACGGTGAGCACGATGAGCACGGTGTTGCCGACGCCGGCCACCAGCCACGTCACGGTGACGCCCAGCGCCGGCTGCCGGGTCAGAAACAAATGTCGCTGCACTCAGAGCGGCGGCGATCAGACGCGAGTCAGACGGGGCTTCTGGGAAGAGAATGTCAGAGAGCGGTGTCCAAGCGGAACGTCAGAGACGAGTTTACCAGGGGAGAGCCAGAGAGTGACTTTAGGAGTGCATGCATCAGACGATGCGGGAGGGAGTGTCGAAGGAGAGACCACCGGAAAGGGTGGGTGTCAGAGAGAGAAAGTCTCTGGGATGAGGCCGTCAGAGGGCATTGTAGGAGACGGCCGCCAGTGATAAGTCCACCAGAGGAAGTCAGACGGTGATTTCACAGAGGAAAGCGTCGAAAGTGTGTAAGAAAGTGACATCAGAAATCAGGCCGTCCGTAGCAGGCGAGGCCTCAGAAGGGGGTGCCAGGAAGGGCACCATCGCAGACGGAGGCATCAAATGGAAAATCATCGCTTGACCGATCTTTAAGTTCGATCCCAGTATGCACTCACACACGTCAGCCCGTAAACGTAAGAGATGGATTTCATTTTAGAGCAGAGCATCACCGCACTGACGCACATTTCAGACACTAAATAAGAAGGGCTTATAGTGCATGGGATACTGAGCAGTACGCTGAAACGCGTTTTAACATGAAGTCTGTTAGGAAATCAGATCAAACCTCGTATGCAGTCCTGTTTATTTTCAACATGTGAAGCATAATTCAACCGTAAATGGACGATTCACTGTACCTTTTATTGGATGCTGCTATGGCCATAAGAGTCAAATGCTTCTTTGGATGCCACCATGAGCCACAATGCAATAAGATGCGTCATGAGCCACAACGCAATAAGATGTGCCATGAACCACGAAAGAGTAAGACGTGTTAATAAGCACAACATTGACTAATATTGGAGTTAGCATGCTCGTTCACAGTACGTATTTTGTCACGTCATGTGCACCACATGTGTCTTTTGGTCGTCTTACTCGAATTTGCATCAGCTTTCGCAATACGCTCCTCGGGCCTTCCGTGCACCACGCGTGCATTATGCTAGTCTTATGTCAACATTTAATGTGCGTCATGGACACAGTTTGGAGTTGCCATACTTGCGATGTAACATCATGCATGCAGGGATGTATGCAATCATGCCTTCGATCTTTCGAATGATTCTCAACTATGCATGAGCAAGTATGGTCGGCATCGTGAACAATAACAGGCCTTAGGACGACCAACGCGACAAAGCACCCGCAATAACCGAAATGAGCCAAACATTCATGGCGAAATGTCCATACCATACTTCGTTTCGTCGAACCCAACAACGCAGCCGAGCTGCACCAAGAAACTACGCTGAATTGCCCCTCTTTATTGATGGAGCAATATCGACACATGCCAGCCATTCATGTGACACGTCCGCGACATATATGACATCCGACATCGCAGACGCAACAGGCATGCCAGTCAGCCGAATGACGGGAAGCCATGCGCGCTATTCTGTGATGGGTTGTGCACATGCGGGACGTATATCAAGATGCTCTTACCCGGTGCGGTTTAGTGAAGATGGACGGGAGATGAAACCGCGGCTGCCGCTTGATCTCCACGTTCCACGAGTGATACAAATTGTCAAAGTAACTACTGTGCTGTATACTTACACCTGGGGACAGAGAAACTAATGAACATAGGGAGCTGCACTCGCTTTCAACGCCAATGAAAAATTACGTGGATGACATTATCCTCCAGCCACCTCTACCGTTTTATTCAATCCCTTCGCAGCACATCGCGGTTCCATATGCTGAGTAGACAGAGGGGGTTTGGAGAAATTTGCGATGGCAGATATATTATTCTCTCTCAGCCTTTTAATTTCTTCCGATGAATCAAACATGATTTACCATGGTCGAAAGAGTCTCCCAACCAAACCAAGTCATCCATCAGGATCGCTCAACGCATGACAGATATCACTCCCTCAGTGTTAACTCCCAGTGTCAGTGAACTTCATGACATTACAATTTGTAGAGACCAGTCACCGGCTTCTATCCACTTGTGGAGTCAACCCGCTTCAACATAGTCGGCTAAGACAACCTACCATACTGGGGAAAAAATCATCCAAACTAGGCCATCTTGCTGGTGTGAAAATAAATCAGTGGCTTCTTGTTTTCGCTATCGGACTGATATCGGCAATGATTGAATACTCCCTTGGAAAGACGATTATCAACGCTTAGCAGTGCATCCGTATATCAGACAACTTCGAGGATGACAAGGTAGCCTCCTGATTGGCTTATGCAAGGTAACTCTTGATTGGCTTTTCCAGGAAACCACCCCCGACGTATGCTGACGTATTCCTTCTTATTGGTCGACCATTATGTAAGATCACATTTCTGTTCCACGTGGTCACGGTCGCTCACCCTGGAAAAACACTGTGCTTAAAATGAGTCGCTTGTACCTGGGAGGATTTAAAGAATCACTGAGGAACTAGACTGGTGTTGGTGACGATTATGCCTATGAGTACTGTTGGGCGTGGTGTGTGTTGGTGAAAGTGGTTGTGTGGAAAAATGACGAAGAGAAGCACTGAGCTCCCGAAGATTTATCTTTGAGAGGAGCTAGTAAGAAAGAATGACACTGGCGAGATCGTCACTGGTCGAGCTGTAACGCCAGACAGTCGGTAATCTGCTGCAAAGTGGTATACAGGGCCTTGCACAAGCCTACGTTAACCATTTACCGCAGGGGTCTTGACATTTTGGAAGCATGTGCAAATCGTGGTTGCGCAACCACCAAATTTGGTAACTATATCAAATAGTCTAGAAAATGTACCAGGCAAACCTGAGAGCCCGACATAGGGGCGATCGTCACCTTAATTTTTCCTCTGCTTTATGTTTTGTTATATCGGCCTCTCTCCGTTTTCCTTGCTCTCCCTCTCCCCCTTCTCTCTCTCTCTCTCTCTCTCTCTCTCCTCTCTCTCTCTCTCTCTCTCTCTCTCTCTCTCTCTCTCTCTCTCTCTCTCTCTCTCTCCTCTCTCTCTCTCTCTCTCTCTCTCTCTCTCTCTCTCTCTCTCTCTCTCTCTCTCTCTCTCTCTCTCTCTCCTCTCCTCTCTCTCTCTCTCTCTCTCTCTCTCTCCTCTCTCTCTCTCTCTCTCTCTCTCTCTCCTCTCTCTCTCTTCTCTCTCTCCTCTCTCTCTCTCTCTCTCTCTCTCTCTCTCTCTCTCTCTCTCTCTCTCTCTCTCTCTCTCTCTCTCTCTCTCTCTCTCTCTCTCTCTCTCTCTCTCTCTCTCTCTCTCCTCTCTCTCTCTCTCTCTCTCTCTCTCTCTCTCCTCTCTCTCTCTCTCTCTCTCTCTCTCTCTCTCTCTCTCTCTCTCTCTCTCTCTCTCTCTCTCTCTCTCTCTCCTCTCTCTTCTCTCTCTCTCTCTCTCTCTCCCTCTCTCTCTCCGGCCTGAACACAGCCATTGCAGTCGGCGCACCTTAAAATTCCAATCAACGCTATCATCACCAGCTTGCCAGTCATCCTCTCTCAGAGTCCTTTCTTTCGAAGTCACGTCTCCCCAGATAATAAACACCGCTTCTACTTTGTTGGGAAGGGCATGCCATGATTGATTTCACCGTTACCAGAAATTTCCGGAAACCGATGCCATACCTAGTGCCAAAGCAATTAACGGACCAGGATTTCTCAGTCAGAATGTGGGAGCTCCATTATACTATATTACGTCATTCACAAACGATGTAGGTGCGTGGACGAGTTACGATGCACGTATAATCGAATTCGCGTGGTTATAGACAGAAAATATATGAGCAACTTTGCTTTCTACCCGATTATCTCAAGGTGATTTTATTCATAAATTCAGCAATACCACGTTGTCAGATAGCCGACCGAATGTGGGTTTGGATGAGTTGATGGCGATGGTAATCAAAGCATGGCGAAGCAGTGGAAGTGGTGCTGCAGAATATCAATAAAACCTCCTCTCTTCCGGTTTACCTCTGAATCCTCACCCGCTCGCTAAAGCGTAACCACGGTCCTAAACTTCATGACCCATCTAGACGAGGAATACGCATTTTCAAAACACCGGTTCCGCGTCAAGAGATACGTTTACCATACAGCCAAATGATCGTTCCCGTCAATTCGCATCTACCTTCTACGCCAAATCACCGTGAGAGTGCCGTCATCCAGCGGGCTAATCATGTACGCGGTTTCGTTGTTGACATAAGGCCCTGCAGACGTGGAGACAATGATTGCGAGACGTGAAATCTGTGTGATCTTGGCACATTAAAGTAACGTTCACCTTCGTAACGTTAGATTCTCACAGTGCTGCGGAGCTTGCCACATGATGAAAATCACTTATGAGGCTATCATCCTATAGGATTTAGGGCTCATGTCACATGCTCTGGTTAAAAAATATGTGGTACATCGAAACAACGTCTTAAGTGAATGCACAAAATGCTTTAGCATGCCCTCCCGAATAATTTGTTTCCTTTTTGATACAAACATTATTTTTACGTGCAGTAATTTTGCACAATTTTCAGTTTAAAACAGGGCCAATGGCCGGAGAAGAGCGCACCTGGTTCTACATCATTGCAGCAGAGCGTCAACAGCCTTACGGCCGAGGGCAAAGAGCTGAAGTACCATTTCAGGTGTTGAGAGGGGTTGAGTCTGTAGGCTGCTTTCGGAACCTTCCGCGCAAGCAATGCAGAGAAGATATGTTTGCATATTTCGGGGACAATAAGATACACACGTTTTCGAAAAGTATAAATCCCTTAAATCAAGAATGAGAAACGTGGTGGTGAAAACAGCTTTAAAATTTATAACTTAGCTTACTTGGCCCAGCCTAGCATACACAGCCGGGTAACTCACATTTGTCACATATTTGCTATTTGGTCAAATGTTTGTACCAGCCCGGTGGACCTTCATGACGTTATCAATAACAAATAGCACAATGCTTTACAAGTTGAACTATACGATTATTACGGCAGTCTTAGCGTACACTCTTTGATCCGGTGACGTCTTTCTGCATTGTCGCAATTGCGCCGCGATTTCACCAGGCCATGGGATTAACAAAGGAAATAGAAATTCTCAAATCGAAAAAACAGCTAAAAAATGGGGCAGGAACAGGCCCAGACCTCGGCTACCAATGCTCAAAGCACGATGAGGTTAACGCATGCTGACGGAGGAAAACACGGATAATCGTACTAGCAAAAATGTAGATGCGTCGAAAACATGCCACGCGCAATTGCACGCGAACCTGGGATTCGCCCATGTTTAGGCGCCTCAAGGACTAAGATCAGGACTTGCCAGCCAGAGCAGGTGGAGACATAAAACCACCTGTACGGTGTAGGCGAACTCGCCGTCTTCAAAATATCAGCCGTCCCCATACCTTTTCACTTATCCGTGCTCCATTAATAGCCTGCAAAGTACCGAGTGCCTTTCTCCAGAAACCGGCCCCAAAAGCAAACACATTGGCTTGGATTAACACAAAGCGGGCCGTGCAGTTTGTGTAGACCCGTGATTCAATTTCTTGTGACTGCTACAGATCCAAAAAATTGAAACTGAGCATTTCCAACGGTTTCTTCAGTCATCAAAAATACATGCTAATTCAAATTTATCTGCCTTGTTGAAGTTGCCCTGTTTCACCGGCGTAAAACCAGCTAATAAATACACCAGCAACATCAGTTGTAGATTTGTACGTGCATGACAAGCCTCAGCGTACGTCTGCCTGCCAGTCTGATGAAAAACAATAACTCCATAGCGTATGCACCATAACGTCTTATGCACCAAAACGTATGCACCATAACGTCCCGAATAGGCCGATGGCCCCACTGACGTGTTTTTGGTTGGAGTCCCCCGGTGACCACGGCTGTGGCGTTATTACCCCGCTCGTCCCACGCCAAAGCAGGCGTCTCACGGACTCCCAGCGAGGCCGCAGACCAAGTGAGCCTTCTTAAAACATGGGATTAAAAAAATAATAAACAGCCGGGCGGCCGTCGTCTTTTTTAAGCCACCATTTTGCATCCAGTCTCTGCAGCCTTGAGCAACTTTCCAACATAAATAACGCAAATCTTTTAAAGTTTGGCTTCAAAATGACTGCACATTGGCATGCAAGCTGCTTGATCTGGTGCAGTTTTCCGAAAACATCACAATTTCAATGCGTTTATTTTCCCACATTCGAATAACATGGGAAGTGTTCGGTTTTCAAACTACAACGATGCTGAAGAAGGCGTGTCGGAACCGCATTCAGATCTTGACGACGCGCCGCCGCAGCGACACAGTCCGAACGGACTCAGACGGAGAATCGGACGGAGCATCGTACTTGCAAAAGTATGGGTCCACGTTTACGGGCGATCATGCGCTGTCGTGAACGTGTACAGGCGATCGCGCGCTCTCGTGAACATGTACAGGCGGTTGCGCGCTCTCGTGGACATGTGCAGGCGATCACGCGCTCTCATAGACGCTTACCGGCGATCACGCGCTCTCATGGAGAAACCATAGTTTTGCGTCGTTTTTAAGAATTATTGTCAGATCTTGGTAATTAGAGAAAGTGAAGGCGGGAAACCAACCGCACGGTGTGGACGGACAGTCCGGCGGCGACCCGCCATCGATCCTCAGAACCGTCCGACTCGTTAGCAAACCTCAAAACAGTCCGACCCATACATACGCCAGTTACCGACCGCCGCATTGCGACTTATCAACTTCGTTCATTATAATTGCCGAGCCTCATCGGATTCCGCAAGCTATTTTTTCAAGCAGCGCTGTTCGTGACTTTGACCGCAAATGGTCCATCAGGGGGCCATCACCACCTAAAAGCTCACGAATGATAGACATTGAAAGGCACTGATAAAATCCATTGATATTATTTGCCGAATGTGTCAGGCTAGTTTTTGGCAATATCTTCATGACAGGCGGCATTTCTCGCACCTGTTATCGCCTCTCTCGGCCCACGTCGCGCACAGTGTCTTACGGGCTTGTGAAGCAATGCATCTAAGTTAGGTTATTCTGCCAGCTGTACTCTGATGAAGTGCTTAAACTATTATGTATTCTCGGCAAAAAGCTAAAATTTCGTCTCTAGCTTGCCTCCGACACCTTTGAAGTATCAATCGTTAACTCAGGTAAGGTGGTTACATCAGGAACGATGCATGACATTTTGTTCGAACGGCCCGTTCTCACTTTGCCAAGTGGAAGATCTTTGTTCACATATTCACGGCCTACAAGTTATCTGCTATTATTTTCACATACTTTTGTCATCAAGTCCAAGGAAATGTTCGCCAGGACAGCCTTTGGATAACGTAACAGATTAAGCATGATATCGAAGATAAAAATCCTTTCCTACTTATATCGAAAAAGAAGGGAGACGCGCAAGCGCCCACATAATGTACATTTCACGCCGAAATATCCCTATTAGCTACGGTTGTGCAGTTTAAAGTGTCTTACTATTGTACGTGCCGCACAGGGGCGAGCGGCGCGCGCGCCGCCGACGCGGTGCCGGGCGGCCGGTCACACCGCAGGCAAATACCACGACTCTACGCCTCGGGGAGGTTGACCGGGTGACCTGAAGTCTAATCAGGGAATCGCAGTGTGGCAGGTGAAGGGCGAGGCATAATGTTTTTCTTACTTGAGCTTAAACATTTATGATAAACAGAATTCTGGGTTGACCACCTTTGGAGACGCGAACTAAGAACATGCTGCTAACATGCCCGCTGCATGTAGTTCGTATCGCTGCGAAAGGTTCTCACCATTCGTTCCATTGCGCGACTATGAATCAATATAAATTATGAATTTGTGGGTTCCCTGCAATTTTGAGTGAAAGCTAATTCATGGAGAAAAATGTATTCAGGCAATCATGTTGCCAGTCATGCCAGTTTCTGATTGAAAGACGTTCTACCTCGTTCAAAGAGGAACCAAATGCGATGGAATGAATAGCTGATTTAGTTAACGGCACCTGGCACCATTAGTTTCAAATTTAGGCAACAATGAGCACGTGAAGCCATGTTTTTTCCTTCAAAATAGGTCGTGCTATTGCACAAGCTTTCGCCGTTCACTCAGGTTACAGCTCAGTTCACGAGGAATACAATTTCCCCCCAAAACTAACATTCTCTTTTAATATCCGAACAAAATGCATATCATTAATAACGAAACACTATTTTTATAAACATTATGTGCCAAGTGCGCTTCGTAAAAATGGTTCTTACTTGCGGCCAAAACAGTTAAGGCGCCGGAAAGAAGCCCCATGGCTAGGTTGAAGCGTTTCTCTTCGATGAAGGCCACTGCTGCCAAAATCATGCAGCCGATTCCGCAGAAGATCTGTGGACAGGGTTTAAAACACCAGGTAGCATGCCAGCACCGAAGAACGAACATTCAGCAATGTCTGGCAAGGCCTATTTTAAGGTGTAAGTGTCGCAGCATACGGTACATAATCGAATGAGTGCCTATCAGTAAACACTGCACGCACAGCTGAGAACTGTACCCACGTGTGATAATAGTTCAGTATCCATCTTGACATTTGGACACGGTTACATGGGATACGGACTGACAGTTTTGGCGTGGGCAAGACTGATATGGATTAAAACGTCGTGTTTCGCGCTACTTTCATATTTTACATGCGCTCACACTTTTCCGCTCTGTTCCGTTTCACACAGCTGCATTCTGGGTTTTTCCCTGAGCCTCCGGGCCGCGACAGCACTATCACCACCGCACCCTCTCCTGGTACGGGCTCAGCAAAATGGAAACAACACCTTCGGAACCCAGATCCCCGAGGCTTGTTGGCAACTAACTGTCTAAGGATACTAGGAGAAGGCACCCGAGGGAGCGGCGGGAAAAATAGCGAACCTTCGCAATTCAAGGAAACAGACGCTGAAATAGACACCGGCGGGAATGGGCCGACGACCTGCGTGCATCCCAACAACGTCAGGCCGCCGAGAAGACACCGGGCTGTGACCTGGCGACCTGCAGTCGGCCCGTCCCGGGACAGTCACAGTTCGTCGTGGCCCAGCCCAGCCCAGTCCCACAGTCCCATAGCCCCAGCACGGCCCGGGCAGACTTCCCGGTCCAGCCCGACTCAGCCCAATCCCGCCACAGGCCAGACAGGCTCGCCCAGCCCGGTTGAGCGGACAGCGTCATCTTCATCCATAGGCCCGAGGACGAGGTCCCGCCCAATAACGCGTCGGCGCTCACCTGAAATACCCGTATGCGGAGCAGCTGGGAGAGTGCGCGGCAGTGGGCGGGCGGCGCGGCGCCGCGGCCACCGCCCGTCAGCCGCACCGTCTCCACCATCTCGATGGTGTCGGCCTCAGGGCCAGAGGCTGCGCCCGCCGGGTCAGTGGTCACCATGTCAGAGGCGGCCGGGCGGGTCACGCCACCCCACCGCTCCCTCGCTCAGCCTGCCGGCACGGGACGGCCAACCGGTCAGGTCAGCGGGGCGGAGAAGGCGGCCCGCGGGGAACGGGCAAGAGTTTTTGTGGAAGGACAGGGAAGAGAAGTCATCGCGGGGGGAGGGTAGACAACACGGCAGGACACGACAGGTTGAGGCAGGATGAATCAATATTTGTCAGCTATAGGCGGGGATGGGACGAATAAAGTAGGGCAAGACGGGCAGGGCAGAATAGAGGTGGTGAGGGGGCTGAGGGCCCGGGACAAGCCAGGGGAGCAGGACAGAACGCGTCAGGCGCGTCTGGAGATGGCGGCGTAGACTAAAGCTAGAGGGCACAGGAGTCCGGTCATCTGAGGCTGCGGCGTTGGCCGGGCAAGTTAGGTAGAGAGATCTTGTCCCAAACTCCCCTGAAATGGCATGCAGTTTAGTTAAGCCTACTTGGTAGTCGTCAGACAGAATGGAGACGGTTTTTAAGGAGCGCTTGTTTTGCGCTGGTCGCCTAACTTATTGTTTTGCAACGTTAATTTTCAAAGGCGAGGGTTACACCAGATCCAGAAGGTGACACGTACCGCCAAGTTCATTTTGCTGCCACATCGTGTCACGTAAAACATCCCAAGTACAACGTAGTTACAGTCAGTCCTGTGCTACACCGATAACAGCACTTAAGAGATGTTTGCCCCGTGCCTTCCTCCATCAGTGTAATGTAGCCATTTTCAGGGTAACAACAGCTGTTTGGGAGGAAAATGGATGGGGGCATTCATTCCGGTTATATCAGATTAAACAGCTCGGTGCTTCCGACAGTCAGCGAGTGCTGATGCCTCCGATTGGTGCTCCCGACAGTCAGCGAGTGCTGATGCCTCCGACTGCACCCAGAGCACTCCTGGATGACCTTCTGGAAAGGTCGGGCTTGAAGCTTGCCAAGGCGCGACGGGGAGATGTGCTATGTCGCACTTCGATCCGCACCGTTTTTATTAAGGAGGTCCAAAAGAGCCGAACTGCCAGCCTTACGCAAAATTAAATGCAAGCAACCACCAAAAGTCTGGCCATCTCGCCTCCGACGTTGTGCTGGACTTTCTGAAGACGAGCACATGGAAACCATACTTGTAGCTGGACGAATTTGAAACATTCAGGCGCCAGGCCCCGATCGCGCCTGGGCAGGCGCGGCTCGCAGACGCACTGCAACAGGGGCGACAACACAGTCGAGCACCATGTCCACGCTTGTCTTCAGCTCGCACAGCACTGGATAGCTTCATTTCTGCTATATAATTTTCACTGATAGTTCACTTGACTGGGTCACGTACATGACGGCTGAAAAGTTTTGCCCGGCCATATGATGCCTGCAGATCCCACAGACACTGAACAGGCCAACTGGACGCATGGTGTGCTGATATGCCGTGCAAAGCCCTTCTGTTGCCCTTTTTTGTTGACGGGGTGCATATGCCCGAAACTGTTTGTCACATTAAAACACTTCTTCGCAATCGGCACATTCCAATATTATTTTTCTGAAGGAATTTTTTCTATCCAATCACGACTAAATTTTTCATTCTATGGACTCTCTGAATGAACTATATTCTATTCTCTTATTCTATGAACTCTCTGAATGAACTATTTTCTATTCTCTCATTCTATGAACACTATGAATGAACTCTAAATTTCCTTCAGCTACGCTTTCACAACATGACACATCATTAGGACCTCAACGTGGCTAAAGGAGGTGACAGTGAACGTTTTGGGCAAATTCCAAAAAGAATCGAGATATCTTACGCCCCCACAACTCCTTTCTCCCGTCTTGATTCTCATCAGGCCTGCAGCCATCCTAATGAAATAAATCCTGTTGTCTATGGGCCGGTTTTACATAATTCACCCAGCTTAACTAAGGGCTGCTCTTTTAGGGCTGCGGCTCGTGACAAAGGTTCGTCTTGAAAGAATCAGGGGCGGCTGGATTTATGTTTTGCTGACTTCCATTTCGCTTGGTGGAAACTCCATTGAAACAAAATGCTGAAATACTGGCGAAAACGTTTAGTTGATGTTGATGTGGAGTGTTTTCTTCAATGGCTCGTTCTTTTGAATCTCTACCAGTTTTCCTTGAGAATCGAGCCGTTTAGTCGCTTAACCCCTTTTTGAACCACTCATTGAACCACTTATTGAGCCGTTGGCCAGCAGATTAATGCCCAGCCGGTAAATGGATTGTTCGAATTTTTCAATGAAACCACTTTAGGTCTAAAAGTAGGAAGATTAAAGCCGTCGAGGTCCAATGGTAGTAGTACTTTTTATGGGAATAACTTCCTTTCCGCGCGAAATAACGGTTTAAAATGCGCGGCGACGCCAAACATGTACTGCCTTCAAAATTAACTGAAGCACTGTTGCCATTCTCTTGGATTTGAACACAAAAGCTTAGTTGTTGCATATTGTGCGCACATACAAGTTTTGGTCTCCTACCATTTTTCTGAGCTATGCCATTATAACGTTGGACCGCTGTGTCTATCAACTGTTTCATTTGCTCATAATTTCAAGACGAAGTACTTTGTCAGCGCTGCAGTTTTGAATAAAAGCCAAGAGTGCCCAGTGTCTTCGACACTTACTGAAATCGCCTGGGTTGCGACACAAATCATGACGAAGATAGTGGATTTCATCATCAGTGGCGTAGCTCTTATTCTTTTAATCTCTTTCAAGGACGGCTTTGGCGCCGGTGTTGTGTGGATGCTGTCTCGCCGGCCGTGCGGACCAGCTGGCAGCAGGTCAGGACCAGCTGGCAGCCGGTCAGGACCAGCTGGCAACCGGTCAGGACCAGCTGGCGGCTGGTCTCGACCAGCTGGCGGCTGGTCCACCAGCGGCGGCCGCACCCTGGCACGCGACACGCGGGCCCGCGCGGAGGAACAACCGCGGCTTCCGCGTTTGGCTATGCCGGCAGTCAAGCAACGAGGTTTTCTAAGGTCAATCACGACGAAGGTGCGGCTGCCTGTGCTTGACAGGGAGCTATAATCCCGCCACGGTGACACTCAGAACCTTTTTTAGAACGCATTTCAGTCACAGAAAATTAAGCTCGTTCGAGTTGGATAAAATGGAGCTGTTACTCTGGCGACCGCAACCGATCTGACATGCACCCCACATCCGGGTCGAAACAGCGGAAATTCCCCGCCGACACCGGTTCTGCCCCATGCATGTATGGGCAGATCTCTGCCCTCCGACTCAGTCCTCGCCAAATGGGGTGGTTTTGCCACCTTCACCAGCGTGACGGTAGAGGTGGCCGACCCGCCGCCCGGGGACAGCCGGCGATCTGAAGTAAAACTTGTCATATTCCGTACGCATTTGACACCTTTCAATACGCCGCTTCAAGTGACGTCTTATGATTAACTCTCAAAGTTCCATCGAACGAGCAAAGGCCACGTTTTGTTATCGGCGGGCAGGTTGCCACGTGTCCACAGCAAGTGCGATTCACGTCAAACCGTACGCCGTTCGTTTAGGTACAAGGGGTACGAAAGGCTTTTTGTGCACTACCATGGTCCTGTCCTTGCAGATAATCTTGAGCTTGCAATCTTCAAGCATGTACGTGGCGTTGGCGCACTTTAAAGAAACAATAAAAGCACTTCGCATGATTATCCAGGCGTGGACTGGCATAACTTAAAACGAGCCCGTATGTGAAGGTTGCAGCAGCCACGCAACTGTGCAAGAGTGCTCTGGTAAATGCTCTGGGCAAAGCTCATCTGGATAAATGTTATGCCTCCAAGAAAGGAGGAGAGAGAAGGAGGCGCCTCTCTGCCCCTGTTGGAGATGGATGCCCTGCGCGGGAGTGTAAGGGGTCAATACCACCCTCATCATGATGAAGCAAACAGGCGATATTCCGCAGCGCCAAGAGCCCTCCCGAGCTGGCCACCACCGGAACGCGTCGTTGTGCGCGGGTCGATTCGCCCTGTTGCCCACTTTCGGCCGGCCGGCGGCGCTGGTTGGTACCCCCTGCCGCATGATTGCGGCTGCGGCGGCTCATAACGGTGCTGCCGGCGACGGGTGGTCCAGGCGCGCACCAATCCCGACCGTCCCAGGCACGGCGCCCCGGGCCCAATGGACGTGACGACCCGGCAGGCGCCGGGGCAGAGGCGCCAGCCAGCGGACGGCACCATCCGAAGGCGAGAAGACGCTCTCTCTCGGCCGCCCGGCCGGCGGTGCAATGTCCATTTCAGATAAATGCGTTTGTGACCGACAGTGCTCAAAACCGACTCCCAACGGGGCACAGGGCCATGAAAAACAAGCTGCCTCTGTTAACCCTCTGGTCCACCTGAGGCTACCGGAGGACCACAGAGGCGCGCGCTCGATGGGGCACATCCGGCCTTAACCAGATTGGACCATTTCCGTGCCACGGTCGCCGGCGCCACGGTGGCAGACTTACCGTAGCGGACTGGAGGACGTCTGGTTGTGTCCGACTGTACGCCCATTTCCACGCCACGGTCGCCGGCGCCACGGTGGCAGACTTACCGTAGCGGACTGCACTTAACGGCCCGGCGACCCGTGAAGGGGAATAACGCAGGGCAGTTCCGAACGGCAAAGACGATGGAGGTCATGCAGTGAAGCTGTTGAGTTTTTGTTGAACTGAATTTTCAGTCGAGCTGAATCCTCGGTGATCTACGCTGACGTGTGTCCCTGTTTTGGCTGAGGGACGTGAAGCGTCCTTGCCCTTGGTGGCACCACCTGTCCACCAAAGCCACCACCCGTCCGCCAGGCTTGTGCTGAATTCCACGCGGTGACATCGGTTCTAATCTAAGCCAAAGCCGATCTAGTCGAATTCAAATTCGATTAAAAACGACTGGTAAGTACTGGCATCGAATCCGATCCTGATTCTAACACAGTTCAAACAGCGGAATCTGAAATTTACAGGTGCATGTACGAAGTGTATGTACATGCGCATACTACGTGTGCGTGTGTATGTGAGTGTTTCTTAATGTATGACATCAGCGGGTGCCATTGTCCAAAAAATGGTTGAAACGGATGAAACAATGCAGGGTCGCTATCGAATGC